TGCTCTCAGGAGAAGTGGAAGAGGCCATGCAAAAGTGCCGTAACGCTGAGGAGAAAGCCAAGAAGGCCATCACTGATGTGAGAGCATCACTAGCCTGCGGGGCGGTACCGTGACATGGCGTTCCTCTAGAGAGCGCAGACAGCCTATATATCCTGGAATATATGAGTGTTTTCCAGATGATATTACCAATTTCCAGTTCTGAAAAACTTGGAAGACAGTACTGAGAGAGTTCATGGAGAGTTCATGGAGCTCATGGAGAAAATGCTTGAGTAGAATTACATACTGAAAGAACAGTAGGTTAGGTTTAAGATTAAACAATGTAACCCAAGACACTCTTCGAGTGTCCCATTTCTAGGGATCTCCAAATCTAAAGAAAATGTGCCTAAGGAGACAACTTGCAGAAAGACTATTCAGATTTTAATGATTATTGTTTTTTTTTTTTTAACAAAGTCCTGCTTCTTGATGCCATTCTTCCAGGCTGCCATGATGGCAGAGGAGTTAAAGAAGGAGCAGTACACCAGTGCCCACCTGGAGAGGATGAAGGAGGACATGGAGCAGACCATGAAGGACCTGCAGCGCCGTCTGGATGAGGCTGAGCAGGTTGCCCTCAAAGGGGGCAAGAAACAGATCCAGAAGCTGGAATCCAAGGTGAGAAATGAAGGAAGGAGTGAATCACATACTTTTTTGGTTTGTAATTCATACTTGGATTCAAAGTCTGGCACTAAATCTAAATTAGAATGACAAGACCTGCAGCATTTGTCATTGTGGAGCACTTGGCAATTCCAGTCTGGTATAAATGTGGTGAAGCTTGTTTGGCTGACTTAATTGTCTGAATTGTACATCGCTTTGGATAAAAGTATCTGCCCAATAAATTAAATATTTACACACAACCTGCAACTGTGCTCTTGGTGACACTTACCACCCCGACTCTCAGTGCCCAAGATAGCCATTAGCTCTTCACAATCACATGGTCCTTGTAGAAGCAAGAACATGACCCGGCACTTCTCTATTAGGTGAGAGAGCTGGAGAGTGAGCAGAAGAAAAGCAATGAGTTCCAGAAGGGGGAGTGCAAATATGAGAGAAGGATCAAAGAGCTCACATACCAGGTACCCCCTTCTGGAAAGCGATGGGGGCTCGTGGGTATGGATTTCTCAGAAAGAGACCCTGCTGGCCATACATACGAGTTGGGTATGGCTGGTACTGAACTAACAGGACGGTTCTGGTTGCAGACTGAGGAGGACCGTAAGAACCTGGCACGTCTGCAGGACCTCATGGACAAACTGCAGTCTAAGGTGAAGAGCTACAAACATCAAGCTGAGGAAGCGGTAACAGGGCTCCAGACAGAACAAAAAAATTTGGGAGCCATTGGCTCCTAAACCCAAAATATTTAGGAGCCAAATGCTTTTTTTGGGAGCCATAATCTCTACCGCATGCCAAATGTGAAATAAACAACTAATATTTACTTGTATTTCTTTGGTCTACCTCACACTGCCTTTCCTTTCTCCTATCTGGGCTATTTCACTTGCCGACTAGTGTCCTCTGCAAGGTCTTATAAAAAATAATAAATGACACATAAATTTGAACAGTGCAAATGTTTAATAATAAGCAATACTCTGACATTGTTGTGTTTCTTACTCTCACCATGCTTTTTCATAGTTTCCTTTTTAAAATGGCTCGTACCACAAATGAATTCTGTTTTACCAGCAATTTCTTGTCCGGCTTGCGCACAAAAGCTGCAATACGTCTTTCCCTTGTCATACCGTAACCAAACGAACTCCAGTAACCAAGCCGCTTTAAACTGTCTTCCAGGCGTCGGAGCTGCGGGCGCAGAAGACTTTGCTAACGGGACGGAGTTGTCATTCTTTAATAACTGTACATTTCCGGACGCCGGTGGCTGTACCTCAGATAACCCACTGACTGAATTATCTTCGGTTCGTTCAGAAGTAGACAAGGCAGGATTTGGACTAGTGGGCACTGAGAAAAAGTCAGAAATTTTTCGTTTGGCCATTTCGCGTGTTACATGGAAACTTAGAACATTTGTTACGTGTTACGTGGAAAGTTAGGACGGAATTAGAGGAGTAGTCGTGGCCCGATTCTCTTCTATTTCGGATCCCTTATCGCAGCAGTTAGCGAGATGACATTTGAACACCCTGGATGGGATGCCAGTCCTTCACAGGACCAGACACACTCGCACTCTCTCACACACAGTAATGTACTGTGAGCAGTATACAGGTGCCAATCTGACTAATCACATCTTCTGACAACATGGGAAGAACACGCCAACTCCACAAATGCAGAGCTGGGTGCAGGGATTGACGTAGCATCTTTGGAAATGTGAGGTCAAAGTCAAAAACCTTGATTTATGGTTGTTCGTAGGCTCTACACCAGTGTTTCTCAACCCAGTCCACGTTTTTGCTCCCTCCCAGCCAATCAGGAACACCGAATAGCTGGTACAGGTGCGCTGGGAGCTGAGAGGAAGCAAAAACGTGGACTGGCTGGGGTTAGCTGAGGACTGGATTGAGAAACACTGCTCTACACAGTTTACAAGGTGGCCAATGCCGTTGTGAGCATTTATACTTGTGCGCAGTCTGCAGCGCCCTGACTCGTAGTGACATTTCTGGGGAGGTGCACATCAGGCTATGCGCTAAACAGTACCCATGGCGCCCACTTTACGCACAACCATAGGTCAAGCTTTACTCACACCATTAAATTAAAACATATTAGTAAGTACTGGGGTTGTTCATTGATCACCCCCCCACCCCCCCCTCTCGTTCCTCAGGAGGAGCAGGCTAACTCCAACATGGCCAAGTCCAAGTAGGTGCAGCACGGGCTGGACGAAGCGGAGGAGCGGGCGGAGATGGCGGTGACGCTGGTCAACAAGCTACGCCTCCGCACCCGGGACCAGGGAGGGAAGGTGAGCTGCATGATCGCCATGGTAATGAGCAGACTGCACGGGATGCATTAGGCATGCCAGTGAGGCCAGCTCGCAGCCTACAGCCACCTGGAATAACCAAACGCCTTTCCCTACATTTTCAGGCAGTGAAGTGAAGTGCCCCCAACCTCTGGAAAATGTGCGGAACCACAAAACAGCTACAGTAACCGTGTGGGGTAGAGAAAAAGAACTACACACTGTAATGACCCATGAAGCTTGAAACATGTATGCTATCCAGGGCAACCACTGGCAGAAGGGGACAGGACATGAACCTGCAGTTTGCCAGTATTCCCAGAAGGTGGTGCTCTTGTACCTCTCAGCTATGCATCAGATTTCACCCTGCTGTATGAATAGGTAACAGTCTCGATAAATGAAAGCAAACCAACAAAATATGGAAAATAAATAAAAGCAGTGAATTGTTTCACATCCTGTCCTCGTCACAAGATGCAACAGCTATATTAGGTTGCCCATTTCAAGTTAGTGTTAATTCATGAGCCAAAAACAAGGTGAAATTCAGAACCATGTTTTATTCATTTAAATGTCCATTTAGGGGAAACTCACTAAAGTGCTTCGCCAAGGCATATATCTACTATACCTAGAAAACTCTGACAATGACAAGGGTCACAAAACGGACAGTATCAGATTTCAAGTTGATATTGTTACCATTTTATTTCCCACCCCCCATAAATTTACAAATAAAGTTAAATAATCTAAATCCAAAATCATTTCAAGAGAAAGAGACATTAGCATGATGCAAAATAGCATTTCTGCGGGAAGGGTCTTATGAATTAAGAGGTGAATCAATCAGTTAAAAAGAAAAAAAAAAAAAAAAAAGGAATTCAATGCGGTTTCCCTGTGGATGTGCTGCTGGCCGACTGACTTCCTGTCCCATTAGCGCCACAGCAGTTTGCTGCGAGCACATCTAACCATCGTGCAGCAGACTGAGCACTGCTTCAGTTTCTGGCATCTGTTAAACCAGAGTGCAAGAGAAAGCGAACAAACAAGCTACACGCTGAGCACCAGGACTGTGTCCTTCAAGAGTGACGTATAGCATTAGGAGAGCCCAAGCCATTACACACACTACCGGAAAAAGAAAAACAATCTGCAAGAACAAGGGCTCAGCGCCATAGGGCTTGTTAGAGATAAGGCAGACTTTACAAACGCCCACTGCACCATCTGTTAGCATGCTGGTGATCTGAAACACAAGGGGCACCAGCTGAAACAGATCAGAGGCACAGGTCGGGGGGGGGAGGACCAGGCCAAAATTCATACCCATTCAGTCTGCTGTACTCAAACACACCGGCTACTGCAACTTAAGCTGGACATTTTTATGGCAACAAGACCTTACTCTAACATGCTTGTAAGAGATACTAAATGTTTTGTTTAATATCCAGATACTTCAGGTTTCCATGTAAAAAGAAGGAAAATGAAGAGGACATTAAGAGCCCATTCAAGCAGAATGGGAAACCGGCAGACTGTAACGACGTTTTGACAATGCACTGACCATTAACACCCTTAAGGAGATTACTGCCTTGTGACGCCCCCCATAGAATGGGACAGGATTGAAATGAGAATAGTTCACTCCACAGATATGACTTAACCAGGGATGCAGAGGGTGAATTACCTTTGGGGTACAGGTACAAAATGAAGGGGGAGGGACATAATGACAACAACCAATGGCGTCTATATGGAGTCGTCTGGCTAGGACCAGATAGGCTACAGCGAATGCGGATTAACTGTGGGACGCCCAGGTGTGGGTGGTAAACCACACTTGGGTCAGGTGCATGCTGGGATTAAACAGAATCTCCATCGAAAAGTAGCTTAACATCCAAAGTTCATGATGTCAAGAACAAGCAGGAGGTCATATAAAGTTACACGGTGCAGAGTTGAGGTAGCTGAATTCCAAACACTAAGTCTTCCAAGTCAGTCCGGTGGCCCAGAGCAAGTGCACACTCAGCCCCGCCTCTGCGGCCCGCCGTGTGTGTGTGTGTGTGTGTTGGGGGGGGGGG